CGAAGTTGGTATTGCATAATACACCAGGTACAATCACCAAGACAAGAATAGCCCTCATTAGCTAGTACCCGAAAGTTGATCCAGGCAGCTTTTCCACTGAGATCTTGGGAATAAACTAGATATACATGTAAATCCAAATTCATTGTCGTAAGAAGGGAGCGGCCACTTTATAACTGTGGGGTTAGTGGATGAGAATTTTGTGAAAAACATAACTTGGTCCACAAATAACTTCTCATCGGGTAACAACAAAATATAACTGTTCGTTGGACATGTTGGACGTCTTATTAAGTAAAGAATCTTGTAAAGATGGAATTAATTTTGGTCCATCTTACATGGTTACAGATCGGGTGTTTTGAAGCAGTGTCCGAAAGAAAATATCTCATAAAATTTGTAAAATAGCTCCAGATCCCGAACCCCCGAAACTGAAATGGTCGGTTCCTAACTGGATGACGATAAAGCCAACATACAGATATAAGAGCGCAATGATTAGGTGTTCAGAGGAGTAAAGCTGTTGCCCAGACAACACGTTATGTTTACTGTAAACACAAGTACCTGCAACATTAGAAACGCTGGAGATTTTATTGGCCCGTAAAGACGATGGGAACAAAGTCTTGAAGGCGACAATATTTCATGAAAACATTAAAGAAATATGTTCGGTATGTAAACAGGTGCTCAAAAGAAATTATACAGTGGTTTTGACCAAACGTAAAAATAAAACAAAAGCATATATAAATGAACATATGTTTAATTCCAATAGAGCATTCAATTCTACAGCAAATGCACACAATTTCATTTCATACAAAGTCGAAAGTACCGTTTGACTGACACTGAAAGACACGACAGTATCATAGTCTGAACTTTCACACAAGTCTGCCAATGTTGAATCAATAGTGCGTGAACCCATTGATGACGTAGAACGACGAATGACAATAGGCGTAATCCATTGCCATTCCTGAAGGAGACATTGTTCGAGTGGCACTGGTAGTCTTCTGATTTGTCGATCCGGCTAGTCCCATAAGTGTTCTATCGGATTCATGTCAGGAGAACATGCTGGCCACGGCAAACACAGCGTTATGCAGAAAGTCGTTTGTCAATCTTGCTGTATGACGCATTGCGTTAAGGTGTTGGTGGACAATGCCACGTGGTTGCATAAATGGATAAATGGCAGCATATCTGGTCGCAAAACTTCATCCCTGTACATGTATCTGCGAGTAGTCAGGTTGCCATGAATAATCACAAGTTTCGTTTTGAGATCGCCGCAGATCTCTCCCCATTCAATCACACTACCTGCCCCAATTCGTCACTAAACGTTCACCTATCCGTCTGTGAACACGAGTCTGACCGCTATTACTGTTCAGACAAAACCTACTCTCGTCGGTGAACATCACACGTCGCCAATCACGAATCTGCCAACGTCGAACTCACTTAGACCATGTCAATCGACGACGTCGGTTTTGAAGAGTCAGATGCACTCCGAGGTAGGGTCGTCGTGCTCGATTACCATGCTCGACTGTATGTCGACTGATACGGTGTCCTAGTGCCGTCGTAGTCGTTGACGTCAACGTTACAAAACGATTTCTCAGATGAATTGTCCGGATGTGGCGATCATCACCGGAAGTTGTCACGCGTGGTCGACCATTCCTAGGCCTGTCTGTATTGCCTGTTCTGGCAATGGCGGTGTTGTTAGCTCCTTGTTGGGCGATTCCGACAGCTTTCTCTGTTTCGAATTGCCTCAAACGGGGCATATTTTTGTGTTCTTTTTATTACTGTGTTGCTCACGTGTCGCTGCTTTATACCACCGGTTTGCACGTGCATTTCGTGTTACATCAGACAAAGTCGTTTTGGATTTTTTAGGGGATTTGCTAATTTTTGTTCCCGGAAAGGAGGGGTCATTATGGCTCAGTATGATTTTATCACTTCATTTTCATTTTTGTGAATGTTTATGTAATATCTTGCGGTGTATAATTCCTTTTGAGCACTAGCTTATTATTATAGCACAGTTATCTAAAACTTTCAATTTCGATTATCTGTATATGAAGTATTAAAGCTGCAAAACATTCTGTTAATTCTTAACGTCAACGTCAATCTACAAACAGATTTCATTAAAGATTAACCATTTCTTCATGTGGAACACATTTATACCTATGTGCTCCAATTTGCGAGACAAGCTTTCCTTCAGAATTACATACTCACAGTACGTTTCAGAATCCTATCTTTCTGTTTCCATTCCCTTCTGGCCAAACGCAACACTGGTTACAAGATAAGTCCCAAGTACAATGCCTTCAATAGATTCCCGTAGACACACCACTACCCGAGTCATCCATTGAATTGCAAGTCCTGTAATTAGTTGCTTAAAAACTATGCGCCACATAGATTTCAGACACTTAAATTTTGTAGCGAATTGAAATATGAGTCTTCTAAACCATCAACACATATCTCTAGAATTCACTGATCCCTATATTAGATGAACAGTTCTCACGGGCTCAGCGAACTGTCGTTGCAGTGCTTCCACTTACTTAAGATCATTTACTCATGCTCCAAGTGCAACACTCTAAACTGCCTTATCGTCCATTCTTTCTCAATTCAGCGGTGTGGTAGCCTAGTGGTTAAAGCGTCCGCTCGGCACGTAGGAGACTCGGGTTCGATTCCCCACATGGGTACAATGTGTGAAGCCCGTGATATCGCTGAATTATTGCTAAAACCTTAACTCTATTGCCATCTTTCTTTGTAATAATCCATTCCCAGAAGTTTCTCTTCTAACTGTACAATTTATTGATTATGCGTGACACCCCAAGATTGTGAACTGCCATGTCGTTGACCCTCCTCTCCCCCCGGTTAACCCTCATCATGAAGCAAACCTTCCCTTTATCCTTTTCATTGCGACCCAGTCCAATGACTATTGTGTGAATCCTACACAGTTTGACCAGTTATGTCGTAGGCGCCCTTTCAACCATGACTGAAAGTCGATTTGCTTACGACGAAATGTCGATATTTTTGTTTATCACTGGTAGTCGAGATCGTCTCTGACGCTGCAGACACACTGCATATGAAACACGGAATATCTTAAAGCAAGCATCGTTCGGCATAGGTTCATTCGTGGAGTGGAGCGGTGAGGTAGCCTAGTGGTTAAGGCGTTCGCTCGTCATGTCAAAGGCGCGGGTTCGATTCCCCACATGGGTACAATGTGTGAAGCCCATTTCTGGTGTTCCCCCCTTCGTGATATTGCTGGAATATTGCTACAAACGCCGTAAAACCCAACTCACTCATTCATGGAGTAGTGTTGCCACTGGAATGACAGTCACTGTAAACATGACCATATGATGATCAGACAAAATCAGAACGGACACCGTGCCATCACTGGCATCCTATACATGTTTGTTTTACAACATGTCGGTGGCCATACTCTGAACATACGGCCAGCTTCATGGACATTGCTAGGTCACCTTATACACATGACATTGTTCCTTTCTTACCTCAAGTGATGGTAGCAACGCTACCTTGGCCCGCCAAGAGCCCACCAGATTTAAATCCCATACAGCATGTTTTTGGATATTGTCGGTCTCAGAATACACCAGAGATACCATGCAGAAACAAATGTTGAGGCATTGAAAAAAGCCATCCATGAAGAATAGAACGTAATATAGTCAGAGGGGTCAGGAATGTCATTGTAGTTGGCGAAGGGTACACCAGATATTGACATTGTGCTTCGTATTGATTCTTAAGTGATTTCGTGAGGCTTGTATGCCACAAAGTATACACTTGTTAACGCCATACACCCATAGTTATCATCGCAACAAAATAAGTCAATGTATTGCTATGGTTATTGGTAAATATATTGATACTTTGAAATATCTGTGGTGTTGCGATACTTTTTCCATGTGTGTAAATACGTAGACATTCCTACTGCATTTACGGGTATTGACAAGGAAAACCCAAACTGAAGTTTAAGGATTTATTAGCATTAGACAATAATGTAAGCAGTAAGGCTGAATGTAAGCAAGTACTTAGTTGAACTCACACAAAGTATAACAATCTAACAGGCGAATATGTACAGAGAAATAAGATGTGAGATCTCATACACAGCAGAATCGATCTAAATGCACAAAGGATAATATCTACATAGGTTAAAGTGACGCCAGTGTGAACATATTAACCATCTGTTACGTAACCTACGGATTAGAATTGGTCTTCAGCAACCCATGCTTGTCGTAATAGGCGACTAACGGGATCGGGTGGTCAGGCTCGCTGTCTTGGTTGACACATGTCATCGGTTCCCAATTGCGTAGATCGATGATCATGCTGTTGATCACTGGATTGATTTACAGTCTGCCGCCATATAGCTGAAATATTGCTGATTGCGGCGTTAAAAAACAAACCAGCCAACCAATGTTACGAAATCAGCTGGGTCTATCCAGCTGAGCTGCGACACGGGTCTTCGAACCGCAGCGGTACAGAGATCCAGTTCCCAGAGTAAGATCATAATTATTTAGTCTATATGTTTTTATACCATGCTTTAGCAAACTCCGCACGAGTAGCCAAGACTAGAAATTGTGTTTTATATCATACATGTACAGTATTTGCACCTTACGAACATGTATAATGTACAGGGCGGTGTGATAACCTTGTTATTAAGGCGATCGCTCTTCACGCGAGAGACCGGGTTTGATTCAAGAGGTACAATAGCGTCCGTTTTGCTGTGATAGTATTGAAAATGCATATCACTCATTGTTTTGAGTATAATAATACATCAAGTAGGTATTTAGTTACCGCCTGAACGGTTACTTAAACATGTACACAGGGACGCAGTACAGACACACGGCAGTCTGAAGCTCGTCACATGCGACTGCACAATTCTTGCATTAAATGTCATCCGTTCGTCAAATCGTAGCGTGTCACCTTCGTCGGGGAATGTTGGTGAACACTTCAGAATCAAGCAAATTTGGTGTTGGAAACACGGCTGATTCCTGGTTCAACTAAGGGAAGTAACTCAAACCAATGGATTAATCTTCTTCTATGTATATTTCTATCTTGACGGGAGCCTTGTTGTCAGCATGTGGCCATGTCAGCGACGTTGGGTCACTGGTCTGGTCGACCACCGACAGTGGCTGTGGCTGACCGGTGGGATTGTATGTATAACAACCGTTGAACCACCATCCTGACTGGCTGATGTTGGGGCAGTTGGAGCCGGAATTATCGTTGTCGTAGGTAGAAAAGGGGATCCCAATGGAGTTTACTAGTCCGTCCATCAGCTGCCGATTATTGGTATCCCAGATGTTTGGTGATGAGGAACTATAAGTGAATTTGTAGAGCTCTCCCTCCCCGTAAGCCTGTAAACAGAACAAAACATTTGTAAAACTACGTTTAAAACTATGAATACACAATTTAGAAAGTGGTCAGATGTAACAAATGGTTTGTTTAGTATTACACTTTCTTTGTTGAAGCCGCGGAGGCTGAGCGGGTTAGGCGGCTGACTTTGTGTGCTGGCGATTAAGAAAGTGTAATCCCAAATATAACATATGTTACGTTAAAAGCTATTTTACCAATCTCTTGGAGTGAGTAAGTTTGTTTAACACCATTTACTGTTGTTATATGCGGGCGTTTCATTTCGATTTTGCAGGAAAGTCCAACATATGTCTGACGTTTAAAACTTTGGTAAAATCCATGCTTACGGTTAGGGCTGACAAACCTAGATTCGAATCCAGGATCAACGGTTTCTCGGGTGACCAAAGTACGCAAATGTGAACAACGAATTTCGGCGTCTTAGCTTCCTGGGCCGGTCGTATAATAATACAGACAAGGAGAAGGTCAGAACATATACTGACTTAGTGAAACGCTGATCTCGGTCGTAGGTCAGATCTATCACTGATAGTCAAGTTGATGTAGAGGGAAAATGGCGTTTACCAGGTGGAGAAATCAATAATAACTTGCGCCGACAAACCAAGACGCATATGCGGGAATATGGGGATAAGAACCAGCGATCATTTTAAAATAATTTATATGTATACCATTCAGGAAATGCCACAATATACATTTAATGAAACCATTTATGTCGGTGTAGTTCATATACGTTTAATTTCCGCAACTGACCCACAACACTCGGTCAATGGTAGATAGCTGTAACTAAAATGAAGATCTTCTGAACAGATGAAGATCTTCTGAACAGATGAAGAACTTCTGAACAGAGCGTGCGACAAAATGTGTGAGTGTTTGCGACACCTATAATCGTTGATCGTGCAGGTAATTTTTTGTATATTTTTACATAAGTCTAATAAAGTTGTAGCTCTCCATTTCATGTTCACATCGTATTGCTTTGGCGGCTGTACTTAAAAGGTCATACTTTGGAGAGTGAGTGAGTGAGTGAGTGAGTGAGTGAGTGAGTGAGTGAGTCGTAACGCCGGTTTTCAAAGTAAGTCGGTTTCATCACGCCTTGAAATGATCATCAAAGTGACGCAGGTCTTACGGTCACGCTGATGAAACCCAATGACATAGGAATCATTATCAGCGGATCTCTGGCCATCGTCTACGTGGCCAACCGACAAGAGCGTCGGTCATGAAATCGGAATGCTGGTTCGAATTGACCATGATATATCTGGTTTCACTTGTTTACTAACTGGTGCTCGTCAATAGGGCGGTATTTCAATAACTGTTCGAGACATCATACCCTGTCAGAGCAGTGTGACCATGTTAAACTGCTGCATAGTATATCCGTTGTTTAGCACTTTAAAAACACACACAAACACACACAAACACTGCACGTACGTGCATGCTGCAATATACGTGCAATATCTTGACGCAATTTTCAACTCCACTTCACATCACTACTATCCATCACCATTAACTGCATGCATGACACTCAACTCTATCCTCTTCGACTATGACATACAGGTACCTTAAATACGTTATAGAAATGTTGCCTCCAATGCAGTGATCCATAGTCTTGGAAATATGCCATAACGACAAACTTATGATCTCGATTTGTGGTCACTCTGTGCAGCATTTCCAGTCCCGCCCAGTAGTTTCCTGAAGAAACCAAACAGCTCTTGTAAATACGTAACAGACAAAGACAATTTTGAACTAAGCTAACCTAATTCTCTGAATGCACAATGAAAACGGTCAAACGTAACATATGATATATTTAGAATTACACTTTCTCAGTAAAGCACATATTCTAGAGATCGTTCTGTGGCACCCACTGCGGCTCCCATAAAAATGGAAGTGTGATACCGGGTAATGAGGAACACTTTTTATGGATAGACAACTTCTTTATTGTCACAGATGCGACCAATGCTTGTCATAAGAGGCGACGAACGGGATCTGGTAGTCAGGCACGCTGACTTGGTTGACACATGTCATCGTATCCCAATTGCGTAGATCGATGCTCATGCCGTTGGTCACTTGATTATCTGGTACGGACCGCCGTTATTTACAGACCGCCGTCTTATAGATGGACTATTTCTGAGTGCGGCGTAAAACTAAACTCGGTTTCGGTGTAGATACTAATACCATTATCAACGTCATTTACTTGATAACGGTGTTAGGATCTACATAGAAACTTATCGCATCTATTGCAATAAAGACGTTGTCTATCCATAAAAAGTGTTCCTCTTCACCAGCTTGATAACGGGTGGTCTAGATCTAGTCCAGGTACTTTGTGTACCCAACTGTAAACTGGCACGGCTCCCATGGCAATAGCTGTGAATATATACTAGCCACATAAAGAAACTGTGCATTGTCAAAATATTATCCCAGTTGATAAGTACGATAACAATGTCAAAGGTACATATAAACTTTAATGGAGGGATCATGAGACCATAACAAGTCGGGAGAATTTCAATTGAAAAGTCAATCACAATGACGTCACGAGTCCACAAGCGGGACAGGGGTCAAACGACCATGTCACAAGCTAAATAACGGGTATGTCCACCATCGGCATTGAGAACAGCAGTGCATCGACGACGCATAGAGCCTATCAAACGTGCAAGGAAGGCTTGTGGGATGTCACGCCAGATTATCTCAGGTTCTGTTGCAAGGTCAAGGACGTTATCTGGCGGATGAGGTAGACGGTGTAGACGTCGATCCATCTCGTCCCAAACATGCTCTATCGGGAGAGATCCGGTGAATTTGCAGGCCAAGGCAGTAAGTCAACGTTGTGGTGTTGCAAGAAATCCATAGCAACCCTTGCCGTATGAGGGCGGCCATTGTCCTGTTGGAATGTTAACCCAGGGCCATGACGTTGCAGAAAAGGAATTGCCACAGGTCAAAGAATCTGATCCATGTAGCCCACACCAGTTAAGTTGCCCTGAACAATCACTCAAAGGAGTGCTTTGTCGTGCTGTTATTCCACCCCAAATCATCACGGAACCACCACCAAAGCGATTCCTCTCCAAGACGCAGGCTGTGCATAACTATGGGAAATGTTAAACCTGGACTCATCTGTAAAACAACATTTCTCCACCAAAACAAGGGTCTGCGGACATGATTTCGGCACCACATTCGGCGAGCTTGTCGATGACGTTGTGTCAGGATAGGCCGTATGGCGGGACGTCGTGGTCTGATCCCATGATGACGTAAACGTTGTCGAACTGTGTTGGGGTGGATACGGCGAAGTCCTGGGATGGTTCGGGGAGTCATCACTGCTGTCTGTAACCTGTGGCGAAGATGGGTCACCCTTATCCATATGTCCTGTCTTGACGTTGTTGCACGTGGACGTCCAGAACGTGGCCGATCGATGACGTCATTTGTGTTCTGGTAGCGTCTCACCAGTGCAGAAATGGTGTTCCGGTGGCAGTGGAAATGTGCAGCCACTTGTCGTTGAGACATTCCCCCACGGACCATCCCATTGGCCTCATGACGTTGTCCAGACGTGAGCTTTGGCATGCTATGCGTTTCAATAGCCGTTTAATTTTTTGAACGATCGCATGGGCAGGGGTTGAGCCGTAAAACCCAACTCACTCATTCATGGAGTAGTGTTGCCACTGGAATGACAGTCACTGTAAACATGACCATATGATGATCAGACAAAATCAGAACGGACACCGTGCCATCACTGGCATCCTATACATGTTTGTTTTACAACATGTCGGTGGCCATACTCTGAACATACGGCCAGCTTCATGGACATTGCTAGGTCACCTTATACACATGACATTGTTCCTTTCTTACCTCAAGTGATGGTAGCAACGCTACCTTGGCCCGCCAAGAGCCCACCAGATTTAAATCCCATACAGCATGTTTTTGGATATTGTCGGTCTCAGAATACACCAGAGATACCATGCAGAAACAAATGTTGAGGCATTGAAAAAGCCATCCATGAAGAATAGAACGTAATATAGTCAGAGGGGTCAGGAATGTCATTGTAGTTGGCGAAGGTACACCAGATATTGACATTGTGCTTCGTATTGATTCTTAAGTGATTTCTGTGAGGCTTGTATGCCACAAAGTATACACTTGTTAACGCCATACACCCATAGTTATCATCGCAACAAAATAAGTCAATGTATTGCTATGGTTATTGGTAAATATATTGATACTTTGAAATATCTGTGGTGTTGCGATACTTTTCCATGTGTGTAAATACGTAGACATTCCTACTGCATTTACGGTATTGACAAGGAAAACCCAAACTGAAGTTTAAGGATTTATTAGCATTAGACAATAATGTAAGCAGTAAGGCTGAATGTAAGCAAGTACTTAGTTGAACTCACACAAAGTATAACAATCTAACAGGCGAATATGTACAGAGAAATAAGATGTGAGATCTCATACACAGCAGAATCGATCTAAATGCACAAAGGATAATATCTACATAGGTTAAAGTGACGCCAGTGTGAACATATTAACCATCTGTTACGTAACCTACGGATTAGAATTGGTCTTCAGCAACCCATGCTTGTCGTAATAGGCGACTAACGGGATCGGGTGGTCAGGCTCGCTGTCTTGGTTGACACATGTCATCGGTTCCCAATTGCGTAGATCGATGATCATGCTGTTGATCACTGGATTGATTTACAGTCTGCCGCCATATAGCTGAAATATTGCTGATTGCGGCGTTAAAAAACAAACCAGCCAACCAATGTTACGAAATCAGCTTGGTCTATCCAGCTGAGCTGCGACACGGGTCTTCGAACCGCAGCGGTACAGAGATCCAGTTCCCAGAGTAAGATCATAATTATTTAGTCTTTATACTCTTTATACCATGCTTTAGCAAACCCCGCACGAGTAGCCAAGGCTAGAAATTGTGTTTTATATGATACATGTACAGTATTTGCACCTTATGAACATGTATTATGTACAGGGCGGTGGGATAACATTGTCATTAAAGCGATCGCTCTTCACGCGAGAGACCGGGTTTGATTCCCCAAATAGGTACAATAGCGTCCGTTTTCGCTGTGATAGTATTGAAAATGCATATCACTCATTGTTTTGAGTATAATAATACATCAAGTAGGTATTTAGTTACCGCCTGAAAAGTTACTTAAACATGTACACAAGGAAGCAGTAGACACACGGCAGTCTGAAGTTGGTCACATGCGACTGCACAATTCTTGCATTAAATGTCATCCGTTCGTCAAATCGCAGCGTGTCACCTTCGTCGGGGAATGTTTGGTGAACACTTCAGAATCAAGCAAATTTGGTGTTGGAAACACGGCTGATTCCTGGTTCAACTAAGGGAAGTAACTCAAACCAAAGGATTAATCTTCTTCTATGTATATTTCTATCTTGACGGGAGCCTTGTTGTCAGCATGTGGCCATGTCAGCGACGTTGGGTCACTGGTCTGGTCGACCACCGACAGTGGCTGTGGCTGACCGGTGGGATTGTATGTATAACAACCGTTGAACCACCATCCAGACTGGCTGATGTTGGGGCAGTTGGAGCCGGAATTATCGTTGTCGTAGGTAGAAAAGGGGATCCCAATGGAGTTTACTAGTCCGTCCATCAGCTGCCGATTATTGGTATCCCAGATGTTTGGTGATGAGGAACTATAAGTGAATTTGTAGAGCTCTCCCTCCCCGTAAGCCTGTAAACAGAACAAAACATTTGTAAAACTACGTTTAAAACTATGAATACACAATTTAGAAAGTGGTCAGATGTAACAAAGGGTTTGTTTAGTATTACACTTTCTTTGTTGAAGCCGCGGAGGCTGAGCGGGTTAGGCGGCTGACTTTGTGTGCTGGCGATTAAGAAAGTGTAATCCCAAATATAACATATGTTACGTTAAAAGCTATTTTACCAATCTCTTGGAGTGAGTAAGTTTGTTTAACACCATTTACTGTTATATGCGGGCGTTTCATTTCGATTTTGCAGGAAAGTCCAAAATGTGTCAGACGTTTAAAACTTTGGTGAAATCCATGTGTACGGTTAGGGCTGACAAATCTAGATTCGAATCCAGGATCAACGGTTTCTCGGGTGGCCAAAGTACGCAAATTTGAACAACGAACTTCGGCGTCTTAGCTTCCTGGGCCGGTCGTATAATACTACAGACAAGGAGAAGGTCAGAACATATACTGACTTAGTGAAACGCTGATCTCGGTCGTCGGCCGGTTCTCTCAATGATAGTCAAGTTGATGTAGAGGGAAAATGGCGTTTACCAGGTGGAGAAATCAATAATAACTTGTTCCGACAAACCAAGACGCATATGCGGGAATATGGGGATAAGAACCAGCGATCATATTAAAATAATTTATATGTATACCATTCAGGAAATGCCACAATATACATTTAATGAAACCATTTATGTCGGTGTAGTTCATATACGTTTAATTTCCGCAACTGACCCACAACACTCGGTCAATGGTAGATAGCTGTAACTAAAATGAAGATCTTCTGAACAGATGAAGATCTTCTGAACAGATGAAGAACTTCTGAACAGAGCGTGCGACAAAATGTGTGAGTGTTTGCGACACCTATAATCGTTGATCGTGCAGGTAATTTTTTGTATATTTTTACATAAGTCTAATAAAGTTGTAGCTCTCCATTTCATGTTCACATCGTATTGCTTTGGCGGCTGTACTTAAAAGGTCATACTTTGGAGAGTGAGTGAGTGAGTGAGTGAGTCGTAACGCCGGTTTTCAAAGTAAGTCGGTTTCATCACGCCTTGAAATGATCATCAAAGTGACGCAGGTCTTACGGTCACGCTGATGAAACCCAATGACATAGGAATCATTATCAGCGGATCTCTGGCCATCGTCTACGTGGCCAACCGACAAGAGCGTCGGTCATGAAATCGGAATGCTGGTTCGAATTGACCATGATATATCTGGTTTCACTTGTTTACTAACTGGTGCTCGTCAATAGGCGGTATTTCAATAACTGTTCAAGACATCATACCCTGTCAGAGCAGTGTGACCATGTTAAACTGCTGCATAGTATATCCGTTGTTTAGCACTTTAAAAACACACACAAACACTGCACGTACGTGCATGCTGCAATATACGTGCAATATCTTGACGCAATTTTCAACTCCACTTCACATCACTACTATCCATCACCATTAACTGCATGCGTGACACTCAACTCTATCCTCTTCGACTATGACATACAGGTACCTTAAATACGTTATAGAAATGTTGCCTCCAATGCAGTGATCCATAGTCTTGGAAATATGCCATAACGACAAACTTATGATCTCGATTTGTGGTCACTCTGTGCAGCATTTCCAGTCCCGCCCAGTAGTTTCCTGAAGAAACCAAACAGCTCTTGTAAATACGTAACAGACAAAGACAATTTTGAACTAAGCTAACCTAATTCTCTGAATGCACAATGAAAACGGTCAAACGTAACATATGATATATTTAGAATTACACTTTCTCAGTAAAGCACATATTCTAGAGATCGTTCTGTGGCACCCACTGCGGCTCTCATAAAAATGGAAGTCTGATACCGGGTAAAGAGGAACACCTTTTATGGATAGACAACTTCTTTATTGTCACAGATGCGACCAATGCTTGTCATAAGAGGGATCTGGTAGTCAGGCACGCTGACTTGGTTGACACATGTCATCGTATCCCAATTGCGTAGATCGATGCTCATGCCGTTGGTCACTTGATTATCTGGTACGGACCGCCGTTATTTACAGACCGCCGTCTTATAGATGGACTATTTCTGAGTGCGGCGTAAAACTAAACTCGGTTTCGGTGTAGATACTAATACCATTATCAACGTCATTTACTTGATAACGGTGTTAGGATCTACATAGAAACATCGCATCTATTGCAATAAAGACGTTGTCTATCCATAAAAAAGTGTTCCTCTTCACCAGCTTGATAACGGGTGGTCTAGATCTAGTCCAGGTACTTTGTGTACCCAACTGTAAACTGGCACGGCTCCCATGGCAATAGCTGTGAATATATACTAGCCACATAAAGAAACTGTGCATTGTCAAAATATTATCCCAGTTGATAAGTACGATAACAATGTCAAAGGTACATATAAACTTTAATGGAGGGATCATGAGACCATAACAAGTCGGGAGAATTTCAATTGAAAAGTCAATCACAATGACGTCACGAGTCCACAAGCGGGACAGGGGGTCAAACGACCATGTCACAAGCTAAATAACGGGTATGTCCACCATCGGCATTGAGAACAGCAGTGCATCGACGACGCATAGAGCCTATCAAACGTGCAAGGAAGGCTTGTGGGATGTCACGCCAGATTATCTCAGGTTCTGTTGCAAGGTCAAGGACGTTATCTGGCGGATGAGGTAGACGGTGTAGACGTCGATCCATCTCGTCCCAAACATGCTCTATCGGGGAGAGATCCGGTGAATTTGCAGGCCAAGGCAGTAAGTCAACGTTGTGGTGTTGCAAGAAATCCATAGCAACCCTTGCCGTATGAGGGCGGCCATTGTCCTGTTGGAATGTTAACCCAGGGCCATGACGTTGCAGAAAAGGAATTGCCACAGGTCAAAGAATCTGATCCATGTAGCCCACACCAGTTAAGTTGCCCTGAACAATCACTAAAGGAGTGCTTTGTCGTGCTGTTATTCCACCCCAAATCATCACGGAACCACCACCAAAGCGATTCCTCTCCAAGACGCAGGCTGTGCATAACTATGGGAAATGTTAAACCTGGACTCATCTGTAAAAACAACATTTCTCCACCAAAACAAGGGTCTGCGGACATGATTTCGGCACCACATTCGGCGAGCTTGTCGATGACGTTGTGTCAGGATAGGCCGTATGGCGGGACGTCGTGGTCTGATCCCATGATGACGTAAACGTTGTCGAACTGTGTTGGGGTGGATACGGCGAAGTCCTGGGATGGTTCGGGCAGTCATCACTGCTGTCTGTAACCTGTGGCGAAGATGGGTCACCCTTATCCATATGTCCTGTCTTGACGTTGTTGCACGTGGACGTCCAGAACGTGGCCGATCGATGACGTCATTTGTGTTCTGGTAGCGTCTCACCAGTGCAGAAATGGTGTTCCGGTGGCAGTGGAAATGTGCAGCCACTTGTCGTTGAGACATTCCCCCACGGACCATCCCAATGGCCTCATGACGTTGTCCAGACGTGAGCTTTGGCATGCTATGCGTTTCAATAGCCGTTTAATTTTTTGAACGATCGCATGGGCAGGGGTTGAGCTTTCCAAAGTGATAGTATTGTGTGGCCTTCATTTGCTCTGTTTATCTTTCCCGGAATGCACGTGCAACAACGTATTGCACGTCTCAAGGACGTACCCACTGACGTCACGGAACGTGGTACGTGCATGCATGTTGGATACATGTCACTGATCTCTGAGTTTAAATCCTTATGTGTCTACACAGGTTTGATAAATTTAGATTTTAAATTTTTGTATGCACAGTTTCTTTATGTGCCTAGCATATATGCCTTTTGTGAGGTGGTCAAATGTAACATATCTTATATTTCTATATTTACTGAGGAAGAGTAACCCCAAATGTAACAAATATAACCTGATTTTTGTTCCATACACATAATACTGGACTATATATGTCAATAGATACTAATAGACGACTCATAGCTACAATATGGTACAAAATGTTACACCTTCCAATTCATATGAATCAAATATAGAATGTGAATGAAATAAACAAAAGCAAGTGAGCTATCAGAAATCAGTCATCCGTCCTAACATGATATATCATTTTACTATCATTACAACAACATTCGGGAGCAAACAGTTGTTGCTCAGGTATTATCGTCACTAAGGCTGCTTGGGACGATTGGCGAGTTTCATAAGTCATCTTGATTTATTATCGTACCTTATCCTAACACCGTATTTAGAACATTGTGTGATAATAGATCATGTCCTGCAACATAGGCAAAATCAATTTCAGAGTTTTGAAGCTGCTCTCACTGTTTAACTATGACTTTGGCAGTTTTGATCCTTTTGAAACAAACATAACCTTAGTTGGTCAAAGCTGGTATTCAAGACCCATGTATTGCAATAAGTTTATAAAGTATTATCTTGCTTTTCTAGACTAATCACTGACTCTGAGAAAACGATATAGATTACAATCTGGATACAACTGAACACCTTTTGTGCATGAACATTTAATCCCACGCTGTGACTCACAGTAGTTCGTTCATGAAAAACGAAAATAGATAGGGGCTTAGGACAAATCCTTGCCTAACACAAACAGGATAATGATATACATCTGTAAGAACATTGTTATATGTACAAACGCAGGCTTTAACGATTTTATAAATGTGTTGGTCGTGCAACACTTCAACTCTACCCACCATTCTCCTCCAGATCTCCAAAACCATGCTTGTACTCTTCCCAAGGTCTTGCAAAATCGACTTCAGGCAGATCAAAACCTCTGCGCATGAAGAAGGTAATTCCCTTGTACACCATTTTACAGAACACCTTGTATTTCACGAGGGAATTGTTGGGCTGAATGTAAAACAGGCCTTCTTGGCCGGTATAGTGATCAGTGTAGCGGCCCTCTGAGCAATCTGCAATGAGAACTGAGCATCCTTCAGCCTGCTGGGTGAAAGTCATACTTAGCCCTAGTCTGTACATATATTTAGAAACTTCTTTCATGAATATAAAATGTACTTGCTTTTCCTAAAACAACATATTCTATAAACGGCAAATATCCTTTGGTGGGCAAGGCCATACGGACATCTGCTGAGTGGTTGATTTTGGTTTAACGAGGATTTGAGCTGGATGCTAGAGGAGGACCCGAAGTGATACATGTCTTGACTAAATCTTGATGAAACCTTCGAGTACGGGTACCGTTCTTAACAATTCCAAAGACCATATCAAGGTCGAATTTTGGATTCGAACCAACGATAATGGAGGTGGCCATTCTTTGTATTGTCTCTTATGTGCCTTCTGAAATCGTGGCTCACTTAGATTCGGTTCATACTTGAACAGACTTCATCACGCCTATCAATTGTTCAGTCTTAACTTTGTACGCAGTTCCTGTGGCATACTGATCATTTGACAAAGGACATGTTTTACATATTTTAAGATAAAAACATGATTATGATTGAAGTATGTGTAGTATATATCATGTACAGTTACCTTGCATCAGGCGGTCACACCATTTGCCAATGTAACCATGGAAACATCTGCATCCATAAGTGACATTTACGAACGTCCCTTCATTCTGACACTGGTAGGCATAGCCCTGCACAACAAATATATGTGACATCTTTAAGATACATTATCCTGGTCGACCGGTAAAAGCAACAATATAAAAAGGCCAAAGGTCGGATGTCGAATCTGTCTGAAAACCACTAAATGTTACAAAGACAGATGCAGTAGATATGACTTTGGAAATATTGCAACACCTAGTATGTTTAAACCCCTTGAGCCACTTATATTCATATAATAATTATGTTTGTTTGTGTGATTACTTTGGCCCTTCGGGGGCATCCAACGTCTATTTTAGATATGCACGTGTATAGCAGTTGGCTGAGATAATTCCACATCTGTAAAGATTAAGATTGATTATCTCCCCATCCCAAGGTGGACGAATGGGATTGGGTGGTCAGACTAGCTGACTGGGCTGATACATATCATCGTATCATGACTACGTAGGTCGATGCGCATAACATCAATCACAGGATTGTCTGGTTCAGAGTCAATTATTTACGCATCGCCGTCATATAGCGGGAATGTTGCGGCGAAACAACAAACTAACTAACAATCAAACAAACATGAGTGAGTGAGCGAGTTTAGTTTTAGGCCGCTTTAGCAATATTACACCAGAAGTATGCTTCACACATTGTACCCATGTGGGGAATCGAACCCGGGTCTTGGCGGGACGAGCGAACGCTTTTACCACTGGGCTACCCCGCCGCCTCCAAACAAACATGAGCAACGATCCACGAAACTCGGATTCGAGAACATGTCATTAACCATGTTATCGAGTTGGACCACCTGATCCATTTAGACGGTTCGTTCAACAACACTACCCTGAATCCCTTTGACAGGCAACAGGATCATCTACTTACATTGAAATGTCTGTACGTCTGATCAGGGCACTCCCCGTCTTCCTGCCTCCTGTCAGAGTTCAGATAACAAGTGAAGTCATGGTCCTCCTGTTTGACACTGAAGGATTCACACCTGTGGTCTCTCGCGCACAGTATTCCACAGGCTGTGATGCTGAGTCCTGGGATTGTTTGGTAGGTATTGGCGGAAACGGCTGGGTTGTAACACGAGTCGACGTAGGTGAAGTTCATATCGGCCACGACAACGGGTGTCATCACCACAGCAATGAAAAAACTCAGCATTCTCAAATTGTGCAATCTGTTTAACAAAACTGGTCTTAAATGATTTACGGTTATGTACATGTTAATAGACTGATATTAATAAATGAATGCCTGAAAATCGGAAATGCCGTGAATATTGGCAATAAAAATACACACGATTCATAACTTTAAAAATGTAGAATTGTATAAATATTGCTGTAAAAAATGTATAACACTGTTATGGAAACTACATTACTTGAAGCCTAAATTGAACAAATTAATTAATAATAGCTCAATAATACATTTAAATCTCAGGAACAAAATGACTATGTATATGTTACAAATATCTGTACAACTGCCCATTGCATGCACAGGGCGGGTCGTTTGCCTTATGCGTGCAATGGGCAATAGAGCTGTCCCAGTGCTTGCAATGTGCAGACAATTATTTGCTCATTGCATGAAATGGGCAAAAGTTGTGAATGAAAAATATTTCTCCAAATATTTCACAAGTAGTATAGGGAATGGGGGTTTTGGACCAGTTCCAACCAAAGCCTCTGCAAAGCCTTATTTCACAAGTAAGGCTTTGGTCGGACCCTTAGCTCTTGCTACCATTACCCCTACTATGAAAAAGTTTGGGACGATAGCGGGACCTCCTAGCCGCACCGGGGCATGGCTGGGGTGTGTTGGTATCCTGGGGCACCGCTATGCTGTGTTGACTGGAGGTAACACTGTGCCGTACGGTACGATCAATAATTCCGCTCTTACAAACCCCCTACCTGGCCCATCCCTCAAGTAGTACAAGTTAGGCTCGTCTGCTTTGATGTCCACTTTATCTATGTTGTAAGTTTTGACTGACCATATAGGATCGGTGGCTCGCTTACGGCTATCACCCTCGTGTTCCCCCGGCTGGTATAGATACCTCACTAGGGCCCTATCTGGTATCTGTTTCTCTTTTCCACGCAATGGAGCAGCCGACTCTGCTGCTATTGATTTTAGTTTGATAGCGTCTGCCGGTTTCTTGCCGGTGAGACGGGTGACTTCATGGTTGATTGCCGACACCACCTTGGGTAACCTCACAACCCATTCAGTTGATCGTTTTCCCGGGGGTTGCCATCTCCCTCGCATACTGATGCCCGAATAAGCGCTCAGCCAAAGTCCTATTAAATCTCTCAACTATGGCTTGACTGCGATGGGCTCCGGCCGTGCCACGCCTGACCTTTGTATCGTGTTTGTCTAACAGGTGTGACACGACACCCATGAATTCCCGCCCGGGGTCAACTTGCAGCTCTGTTGGCCACGTCAGCGGACTGCGTTTGTATATGCGTTCGAATCCTCTGGCTACCTGGGCAGAATCTTTTGCGGTCAAGGGTTCGGCTTCCTTGTAGCGACTGGCTACGTCCACTACGGTTAAGGCATACTTGTACCTCTTGTCGTGGGGTAGGAATAGGAGGTCTGCCTGGTGAACGCTATTAGGTATGTTAATACCGAACCTCCTTCTCGGCACGTAGCGTGGTGCCGGTAAATAGATCTGCCACAGGGCTTGTTTTTCAAGCCACGCTTTGGCTTCCTCCGGGGGTACTCGCGCCATTTTAGCCAGCTTATCTACAGCGCTAGCTCCTTTCCAGTACCCACGTGGGCTATAGTAAATAGCCTCAAACTTTCTCTGATTCCGTGACATGTCGCCTACATACACCTATGTTCTTGGTTCAATTTTCTCATTCCCGTACGCGTACGTGTTTATCCCATCAATAGCTATCCAACGTTTAGTGTCCATCGGCGACAGGGACGTCTTGTTTATAGTAAGTCCGTATATCTTATGCCCATCACTTCTAAGTGTGTTCATTTTATGTCTAAAGGTACGGGTCTTGAACAGGGCTTCCTTGAATCTGGCGTGTTTGATGTGTTGTTTAACCACGTACTTCTTAACACCCTTAGCCTTCCGGATCTCACCATTGTCGGCCTTCAGTATGGAATACATCTTAGGCCTCAAACCTATGTACTCGGCTATGGGCGTGCCGGCACACTCGTCCTTCATTTTACCCAGGACCTTTTTATTTACCGTACTGTGTATGGCATGGGCCTTGGGGTAGTCGCTGGTGTCATACAAATCGAGGTGTTTTTTCATGTCCTCGTACACGTCCTCGGTTCGAATCTCCATCAGCAGGGAATCCGTGTCAGTGTACAGCACTTCACACCTGTCGTTGTACTGTTTCTTAAGCTCGTTGTAGTAAAAGTCGTACATCAGGTGTTTGGATAAATCGAGGATGCTCATCCCCACGTAAACAGGCCGGTTGAATTTTATGTGGCTTTTCTTCATGTGTAGGGCAACTAGGTCATCGGTGAATATCTTGCTACGGTTGAATGCCGGACTGGCTATCAGTCTCCTGAGCTTGTCTTCCTCATTCGACCGAACCAGCTTCACGGTCACGCGTTTCCTCAGGTTCTCCATAGTCTTACCGAACACCAAGTTGTTCATGAGCTTATAGAGGTTTTTCTCAAAGTCACTGGTGGCAAGCTTTCGGAGGTCTGTGTTCATTCTGATGTATGGTTCCATCCAGGGGCTCTGGTTGAACACGAGCACCCTGTGTATTTTGGTCAGCCTCATACCCAACGACAGGTACAGCTGTAGGTTGCGATAGTGAACGATGTACTTGGTCTTATTCATTAAGTTGGGCACGAGTTTTTTCAACGTCTGCCACCCGCCCACCTAACAAGTTATGTTGGTACTCAGACATCCAGTCTGGGTTAACCCTCATACGTTCGGGGGCCAGGGGGTAGCTGTTGTGTGATGTGTGTAATGCCTTGGGGTATTCTAAGTCAACCTCGAGGACATAACCTTTGTTCGAATCTGGTGTGATGCTCATAACATCGAAATCGGACGATACCCATTCGAATCCTCCTGTGGGTAGATACTGGCTCATAGCCCAGCCGTACAGGTTGTTGGCGTCGAGGTAGAGAATGTGATTGGTTGGCTTGCTAGGGTCGTAGCCCTTCACGTATTGATTATTTGCTTTCGCGTATCGTTTGGTTGCCATGGAGATCCCACCTCGCAAGCCTTTCTCAATGAATAGGTGCATGTCATAATCTGTAAGCAATTCCAACTTAACTCCGGTCTTTTTAAGCAAGGCATCCCACGACAGACCTGGGCTGGTGTAATACCATGCGGGGTCGAGTTTATACTGTTTGAAACATGTCCGCCTAAACGTCTCAAACACGTCGGCTAACAGCAGTACATCTGTTCTCAAGTACAGGTCGTGATAGTCACCCAGATTCTTACAGCCCAGTTTATTCCATACGTTAATCGCGTGCGAGTAATCGTCTTGGGATATTTCCGAGTCGGTCAGATTGCTGTAAAATTCTCTGATGGGGGGTAGTCTGGTCTCGGCGAACTTGGGCCAACTATCCATGTACTCATAGGGGTACACACCCTTCCTCATAAGCAGGGGTCTAGTCTCGGCGTCTGTGTATCGATCGGTAATAGGGAAGGTATCATTGGCCTTGACCAGACTGTCTAGTGAAGACAATAGAAATTGTACTGAATCTATAAACCTAAGACCGTTTAAGCTGAAGGAGATGTATCTCTCCATGTTGTTGGGGATGCACGTTATATTACCATCGATTTTCGCAATGGCCTGCATGATCAAATGAGAGTCGTACCCTCTCAAGTTGTGAAAGACAACGGGGATGTTTATTGTCTTAGGGATGATTCTAAGCTTGAGGTTACACGCGCTGTGAGCGGCGCCTCTGTACTTACCGGTTATGTGGCAGTGATCTCTCACCGAATCACCGTTAAGTGGTGAGTCACACACGTGGCAGTTAGTGCTACAGGCGTGAGCTAGCCTGTCGGCTTGGGTCATACGCATGGGAGCGACTCTATACAGTGCGTTCCTAATAATTTTTTCTTCCTCCCGCAAACACTTAAGAAACCTTTCAGCCGCGTCGGGGCCCCTATACACTACCGGAGCTTTCGTTTCCCCATCACAACGGACGACCACGTATCCAAACCCACAGGCCTCATGCTCCTGTGTTTTGAGTGTGGTTGGGGTACCCCCAACAACCCCGCCTGTGGGTAGAGCATTGGGGATATCCCCAACAGCCTCAACAGGTTTAACCAAGGCTTCAAAGTCGGCGTATATGATATAAGGCACAGACATTTGGTGCTTGTGGTTGCCGAATTTTAGGATATTGTCACCTTCCTTAGGCATGTCGACCCGTATAGCCGTCTGCCCCACGCCTTGGCAATCCTCCCGGTGGGATTCTAATAAATCAGCTCGTGTGAAACCATGTAGGCAGCGTTCGCAGAAGTGGGTCATTTCTCTGTGTGCCGATTGGTCATACAACAGCCTGCTAAAGTGTTTTATCCAAGCGTAGTGGTACTTGTCACCTCTCTGGATCATGAATATATTGATAACGCGGTGGGGTTCCCCTAACGGGCTGACTCTGTGCACTATTGTTGTGTTACCTTCGTGCCCAAAGACATTTATAGCTAGATTATTCTGTTTTTCTATTTTAGTTATCTGGGATATGGGGGTTGGTTCATCTATACCATCCCAGTTGAGCCCATCGTCTTGGGGATAGCTAGAAAGCCTGTCTGAATGAGTGTCAGCTGGAAACAAGGCTGACCTGATAGCTACCCTCAGGCAATCGTCTCCTCTATTCTTGACATTGACCATGGCATGTTTTTTCCTATAGTAGGGAGGCAAGTCTAGGTATGACCCGCCTCTGAACGGCACGTAGTTAGCTATGTCTAGATAGACATTATCGATTTTATCTACAGTCCACCCAGACCCCAAGTGTGTGTAGCGTTCTAGGTATTCCCGTATCTGCTGAAAACTGGTATCGATTGATGCGTCAATGGTCTCTGTATGCGTGACAACCTCTTGTTTACCTCGGAAGTAAGGCTGAACGTACTCAGTGACCCCATTCCCTGCCTGCTTATCGAGCGACATTTTCACTGTGATTTGAAATTTGATACTTCCTAGACTGTTTAG